ACACAAGTGTTGGAAGTTGCATATTTTGCAAAGTAGTGACATCTTTAAAATACTCAATCCTAGAGAGACAAATTATTTAAAGGGACAAAAGAGGCACCCACACTACTTCATAATAATTAAGGGGTCTGGGTGCCATGTCCCTTCCATAGTAACCCTGCAAGAGAACATATTGCAATTCTGCACAACTCCAATGTTTACACTGCAGGGTTTCAGTGTCTCTAGCGGCTGTCACTCAACAACAAGAGGAGTTTCCTCTGAAATAATGGAGTAAAATTTGTCTATTTCAATCAGATGGTCTCATAAAGGCTGTCTGATTGCCTCAGCACATGCACAGTAGCTTCCCAATGCTTTCCTATGGGAAGCACTGGACAGGCTGAGATTATCAATCTCAATGATCTCAGCCAAATAGGCGGGACGGCAGCACGGAGACCAAAATTATTAGGGAGAAAAAGGTCCTACTTTTTTTCTTTTACTCCATGCAAGTGGGCGGGGGAGGGAATTAGGAATACACATTTGAGGGTTGTTTATAAAGAACAATGATGTGCAAAAAAGTTGAGTAATCACAATGAAATAAAAACAATAAAATGTTCCTGCTGATTGCTCCATTTTTGTAGCACTGTGTCTCAAAATTCTCTTTATAAACCAATAGGGTTTTACCCTAAATTTTAGGAAAGTAAAAAGGTCAGAACAACCGTTCAAAAAGAGGTTTAGAATTTTGATAGCAGAAAGAGATAATTGCAGGGAAAGAGAACCACAGAATGGATGGAATAGTTTTAAAGTTTCCCAAAATACCAGATGCCAATATGAATTTGGAGCTTCTTCAGTACAAATTGGACAGTTGGGTTTACATACTAAACAATTTGTATTGAGCTGACAACTAAATTAAACAAGTTTCAGTCAATTTAGCCAAGCTGTAAATATATTGTAGTAGGAGTATTTTTACACATTAGTGCTTTTTGCCTAAATTCTGCAATTCAGTTGTCAATTTACTACAATGAATACGTGAACAGCGAATAAACCCCAATAATAACTTTTTGCGTTATCCACTGTCTGTACAAATGCAGTGGTAACAAGCAAATATCTCTCACTAGCACTCACACAAAACAATGTCAGCCTTTAATAGTCTACGTGCATGTGTAGCAACAAAAAATTGGCAATAACTGTAGTCTACTCTTACATTAGATTTACATTTAAGGGCTACACAATTTTAGTGTATTTTAAGTTGTTAATACATTTAACTACACTACTTCATTTACAAGAAACAATAACTTATTACAAAATGTCACAGTAGAATTTATTATGCCTTGTAGACTGGGCTAAAAGAACACTCCGAGCCACGTAATGTTAGCTTAAAAACAGTGCATACTGTTCTATAAAATAGACTGGCGGACCCAACCTCTCTGTTTAGGCAAAATCATCATGTGGACATACACACCCATCAATTGAGAAATTTCAGAGATGTCAGAGGAGTGGGGGAGGGAGAGTAAGGGGAAGGTACCAGAAACTGAGTTTGGCAGAGGAAAAGTTACAGTGCATGTGTTGGCTTTTACATACCAACTTTTCATAAGAGGTTTACTGTACTAAATAAGGGTTGGGCGAGGCAAATCTGCCCTTCCAGAATAACCTATTCACAGGAGGGACAGTGAAAGAAAATAATGTATTCTTACTAAATAAGGCAACAGAGATCTTTGACATGGAAAAAAATATGTCATGTGAAAAGATGAGAAATGTTATATAGGCCCCTAGTCTATAGTAAAGCAAAATCATGCTTCATTGTATATAAACAACCATTGACCTATTAACTCCCTAGAAATCATAGCCATAGAATGTCTTAATCAGTTAGAGTTAGCAGGGCACTAGAAAGCTACAAATACTAAAATGAATACAATTTCATGCTGGAATTTGATCTGATAAAGAGCAGTCAAGGTACCATAACAGCATGTCAGAGCAGTGGTTATGGTGTCAATAGGCTGCAGGCACTAACTCTTGATCAAACCATTGCTGAGCATCAGATTACCCACTCTGCCAATGAATGATGTTAAAATATGAATGAAAAATTATAATGTGGAAGTTGAACTTTCCAGCGAGTGGGCAAGGGGCTGTATGTGCCACCCAAAAAAAAAGTTTGACCAGAAACACAGGTATGGTGCCCACAGCCCTATGGCAAGTTAAGAACTAAACCCGCATTTAGTGGTTCTGATGCTTAGACTGCTCCTTTAAGAACCAGATAAAGAATGGAAGTAAAGATTGTTGGTCTTTTACCAGTTAAAGGGACACTAACCACACCAATGCGGATGAAAAAAAAAAAAAGTGGGTTCTGAGAAATGGCTCGGTTCACATTTATAAATTCCAGTTTTTTTGTGGTGGTCATTCAGCCACCATGGGACTCTGAATAAAATAAATTCTTTAACTCAAATCTATTTAACGTCCAGTGTCAGCATGCAAAGTAGCAAGAAGCTGGGTGTGCATCCAGCACTTTTCTAGGATAAACAGATAGTTGCAACTGCTAGACATGTGCCATATGCAATACTTCATTTAAAAAAAAAAAAAAAAAAGTTTTAAAAGCGGGGGTGGTGGGGGAGGGATACTGTAAATCAGTGAATGGAACACTTATTACACACACACACACACACACACACACACAGGTCCAAGTCACTGCAAATAATTGCTGCTGTGTGCCAACAGCCACACCTTAAGTTTCTGATTAGGTATCACAAAAAAAAAAATAAAAGTATAACAAAGTCATAAAAAGTACCGAAAAATATCTAACCTGGTTATGGTAAACCTTGGTACCCAACAAATCTCTGAACTACATTTCCCATAATGCTTAGCCATCATTGGAAATGAAGTTTGGAAACATGTCATGCCAAAGAGTCATCTGTATGTGAGTGTGAGCACCAGCTCAGTAATACAATACTTCCTCTGTAAACCAGACTAGAGGTTCACTCCGTTTGCTATGGACTACTTTTCAATGATGCTCAGCCAACCTAGTTACAGCAGATATCCTTGTGATATAAAACCAGCTCACCCTTTCCATGCAGGCTGCGTAAACATTATTTATATACAGCAGACTGCCAAACCAACACATACTGGAAGCGGTTTCACTAGACAGATTAACACATGGGGGTGAGTGAGCTCTAGTGGTGTAATGGAACTACATTTCCCATAATGCTTCGTGGTTGGAACAGCTGAATGGCTACCTGTAAGCCACGCCTGGCTGCAGACACCTACTTATAGTCAGACCCTCAGTCCACATATTGTAGGTACAAACTTTTACAAATTACACCCACATACACCCCAATAAAGTGACACTGCCCCAGAGGGAGATCTCCGTGGCAGGAAGTGCCTATGGTGCGGTCTCTCCCCCCCACACTAACTGCCCCAACTACCCCTCCCCCCCTCCATAGCCAGCCACCCACGACAGGTACAGCACCGTGTACAGTACAGGGTTACACAGAGCCCTGCTGCGTCCTGTATTTGGTAAGGGAATAGGGGGAACAACTTACAGCCATAATGAGGACGAGCAAGCCCATCCACATCGTCCGAGGTGGACATGGTGCCTGGATGTGAGTTTTGGTCGGATCGAGCGCGGTTCGGCTGTCCCCAGTCACAGGGAAGGAGGTGGCGGAGGTTTGAGGACGAACACGTTGAGACAACTTGAGAGGAGGTGAAGGAGACTCCCCGGAGCCTGAGTGAGCTGGGTGTGTCCTCCCGCCCCTTCCTAATTCACCCTATAAGAGGAGGACAGTCACTCAGTCTGTCTCCAAAAAACAGGGACAGGCACACTGTCAGCACACACAATATGTCAGCCCCAGAAAAGGCGGCACATCTAGTGTATTCTTAAACATTAGACACGCTCCAATAAGAGTTTACCGGGAGTGTGCATGTGTGATGTGTTTTGGATACAATGTAAATACTTGGCGAACTTTGGGAAATCCATTTGGAATGCAGGGAAGACACCTCGCCTGGCCCCACCCTGTGCAGCTGTAAACCTGACTGCATCCACGCAGACACATCCAAACATTGCTCCTCTCTTCCCCCACAGAAAACATGGAGCTCTGGAAATATATATGTCTTTGCTTGGTTGTTTTGGCAAAAATGTCCCTATTTCGATTTTAGTTTGCTACAACTCAGAGTTTACTGATTATATCCCTGTGGATAGCCATTTATTTTTTACAGGAGAGAAATGAGTCTCTATATTGTTATAACACCATTAATAATGACCAGCATTATAATGTGGGGTATACCTACCTCAAATACCATGCATTATCCCACTTTGTTAAAGGGTGAGTAGATTAATTTAGTTAGGAGATAGCAGACTCCATGATGTGGTTTACATAGAAACATGGAATGTGATGGCAGATAAGAACCATTCGGCCCATCTAGTCTGCCCAATTTTCTAAATACTTTCATTAGTCCCTGGCCTTATCTTATAGTTAGGATAGCCTTATGCCTATCCCACGCATGCTTAAACTCCTTTACTGTGTTAACCTCTACCACTTCAGCTGGAAGGCTATTCCATGCATCCACTACCCTCTCAGTAAAGTAATACTTCCTGATATTATTTTTAAACCTCTGTCCCTCTAATTTAACACTATGTCCTAACCCATAGGACTCTCAGCCATGTTTCATACCGTTTACCCAACACCCCATATTCCTGAATCCCTTCTATCTAAATAGACTGTATCGTCTTCTAAATGCCTAGAAATATTATTTTAGAAATATCACTCAATGCTGTTTCTAAAGTAGCGCCATTGCACTGATAACCAACTTTTGACATTTAAAACTCACCATTTTAATGGCAATCTTTTAATTCTCAGAATATGTGTGTAGGAGTAAATGATACTGCCTTATAGTAATAATATTGACCGTATTGTTGGTCAAAGTGCAGCAAATTGTTTTGCACTTTTGTGTGTTTACTGTATTTACAAAAAAGCTGCATTTGCAGCAGCAAATATAGCTAAAAAGAGTCTCAGATATATTAATTTTCCTCACATATACTGACATCTAATAAATTTACAATTTTAGTTAATGTGAAAAAATGATATCCGAATTTGACTTGACTAACTTCTGAAGTAATGCATTGATAAATAATGTTGCCCCCACAAAGTGCCAGGAATTTGTTTTTCCCCATGCCACGTGGATGTGTTAGTGGTTAAACGAGAAGAATGGTTTAGTGGGGCCCCACAACAGCAGAAAATAGAGTTTTCCCTGTTGATCTTCTTTTGAAGAAGCAGAAAAAATATTTTAGAGGAATTCAATTTAGCAGAGAGATTAAAATCACACCGTTACTCACTTAACTGTGAATTATAATTAAATAAGGCCAACATATTCCGCAGCGCTGTACAATAAGTAAACAAGGCAGATATTTAATTCTATCAAAACATATATGACATACAGGAATAGCAGGTGAAGAGGGTCCTACCCAAACAAACTTACAAAGCTAAATTTTAAAGCTGATCCTTTTATTATTTCGCTCAGTCACTGGGTTGGACAAATTAAATTCCATTAGTGACAATCTGAAGGAGCAGTTGGGGTGAATGCTCCCCCCAAAGTCAGAGAGATCTATGTCTGTCCAGCAGCTGGAGATGAATGAATGACCACTTGCCATCAATTGCCTGTAGCCATGTTGTAAACTATATCTGGGTATATAGTTTGTGTGTGTTTGCATTTGGTCATATGTATAAACCTCTGGGGGTAGATGTAGGTATTTGTCACTGCATCTATGCAATCTCATTGAATCATTTCACGTTGAGTCCTCTGTCACTGTCCCTTCATTCAGTGTTAAACTATTTAAGAGTAGTTTCGCATTGAATGAGTGTCCCTGGCCACCCGTTGCACGGCCCGTACTGGAAGTATTGTTAACACAAAGAATACACATTTCCTTTAGCAATACCGATTCATATCAGCATTGGGCGCTGTGATGAGCTGGCATCCACAGCCAATCACAGCTGCTCTTGGTTGCTCAGACTAATACTTTCTCCTTAGCCCAAGCAAGCACTTACGGGATGGCCTGTTGGGGACTTTGGCTCAGCATTAAAACGGTTTAACACTAAATGTAAGGACGACACCAGGTGACACCAGATACGATAACCACTTCAACAAGATGAAATAGTTACAGCCTTTAACAGTGTCCCTTTAATTTTTTAGAATTTGTTAGATTTGATGCTAATAAATTCAGAGTATATTTATATGGTGATATATGAAATTTGCTACTGTATGGCAGAGCCAGGGACTGGTGTAGACTTTCTCTGTTGGTGACGGCTTCTTTCTCTTATTTTGTTTAATTCATGTTGCTTCTGTCATTTTGCTTCATTTTACCAGTACAATTAACCTGTGCTTTCCTCGGTTGAGTCACATTCTCTCTGTTACTTAGTTGCCATGGTTGTTGTTTTCTGCTTCCTGGTAAACCATGATAAACAGACAACTGAATAAAAATGTATTTGGATGATCTCAGTGTGGTTTGGTGCATTTTTTATTTTTGCCTTCTAAAGCAACATGTAAAGTTAAAGGGACACTATAGGCACCCAGACCCCTTCAGCTCAGTTTAACCCTGCAATTGTAAGTATTGCAGTTATGATAAACTGCAATAATTACATTGCAGGGTTAACTCCACCACTCATGGCTGGCTACCAGACAGCCACTAGAGGTGCTTCCGGGTAGTCGCTTAACTGACGCTGGACATCCTGCCTCTTTGCATGAGGACATCCAGCTTTAGCTAAAACCCCAGGGCTAACAGTTAATTCAATGCTTCCCTATGGGATTGTACTAATGCTATCGCTGCACATGCGCATTAGGTCCCCAACGTCGATTGACATCGGGGAAGGAGAACGGAGACAGAACCTGACCCAGTGCCGAGGGACACCAGCTCTAGATTCAGGTAAGTGACATAAGGGTTTTGCGCTGCAGGTGCAGGGCGCAAGAGAGGAGGGCACTATAGGGTACTGTAGTGCTAGGAATACAATTTTGTGTTCCTGGCCTATAGTTTTCATTTAACTGCATCACATATGAATAAGAGAACAAAGTGGTAATTGTTAACTTTTTGCCCATATTTCTCTGGCATTTACAGAACTTATTAAATTAATTAGAAAAGTATGTTTTTCAGGAAGTGATTGAAAGTGAAGAATTTCTTCCTTACATAAATTCCAACAAAAAAAACACTCACGTCCCCCAACCTTGTGGGAGAGAGTAACTCAGGGGCAGCCAAACTATTGCCAAACTAAAATTAACTTTTTAGGCTGGAAACAGAACTTCTTGGGATACTTACTATAAATGTAGCAGAATGGTTACTGGTTATCAACCCAAGCAGAACATTAAAAAGGGAATCCAAAATAGTCTTAAAGGATCACTATAGTGTCAGGAAAACAAAGCGGTTTTCTGGACACAATAGTGCCCTGAGGGTGCCCCCATCCTCAGGGTCGCCCTGCCGTGGCGCTGAAGGGGTTAAAACCCCTTCAGCAGCTTACCTTAATCCAGCGCCGGGCTCCCTCGGCGCTGGTGACCTCTCCTCCCCGTCCGACGTCACTGGAGCCGCATGCGCGACAAGTGCTGCACGCGCATTAAAAGTGTCCATAGGAAAGCATTTCTCAATGCTTTCCTATGGACACTCTGTGTGATGGAGGCGAAATTCGCCTCCAGCATCGAGATTGCACCTCAAGTGGCTGTCCGGAAGACAGACACTAGAGGCTGGATTAACCCCAAATGTAAACATATCAGTTTCTCTGAAACTGCTATGCTTACATCTGGAGGGTTAAAACCTGAGGGACCTGGCACCCAGACCACTTCATTGAGCTGAAGTGGTCTGGGTGACTGTAGTGTCCCTTTAAGGTTGATACAACTAATAAATCCCTGAATAGCAATTTTGTCCCAAATACTTTGGAGTCAGTCAATAGGTTGTTGTAATATAAATACGTTGTAGAAATAATCCAATTTAAGTATTTTGGTGAATAATTTGCAATTTTCAGTTTAGTTTATTTCTAACCCTAGACTAGAGTAATATAATGCTTTTTAATAATGTTTGGTATGTGATACTGTAGAAAACATATATAAAAATAATGTACAAAACTTGTCTAAAAAATAAATAAATAAATACAAATTATAAAGACATGAAAAAAGCAGGGCCAGGCACTTCCAAGAAACCGCATTCTGCATGGGTATATGATGGCAACATGAAACAAATGGTTTGGTGTAAAACCAAAGATTAAAAATCTTTCAATCTGTTCAAATGTGAAAATGTAGTCAATCTAAGGATATCTGCTATTGCTATAGTTCAACAGAGAAAGTGGAGGCCTCTTGCAAGGAGCTTTAATCTGCTTTCACATTATAGGTTTCTATGTTGTTAAAAAGGTTTTTCCGTTGTTATGGTAGCAATGACGTGCTGCTGAAACAAATCTTTCACAGGAAGGATTTTCTGCCACCTTCTGGAAAATACGTTGAAATTCATTTAAAACATTTTTTTTTTTTTTTGTACTTAAGCAGTACTTAAGCATGACTTTTTCTTTAAGGCATCTTAACCAATAAACCACACTTCAAAATTTGAAAGTAGTTGCATTCACATTTAATGGAACTTGTTGCTTGCACAGTCTAGCTTTCAAAAGTAGGTTATGTACTGAACAGTCAGTATCTAGACACACACGGTGGTGGAAAACACGGGATAGGCCAGATCTGTAGGTGAGCCAAGTATAATATCTGCCACAGTAGTTAAGTAGTGTGTTACCTAAAATATTAAATAAGTGAACAAGGCATACCCCAGTACACATGGTAAAACTCTGTAAAAACCTTAAAAACATATGAATAACAAAAAAACTATTGTGTTAGGGGCACCCCGGGTCTAAAAAATCATGCAAGTACGTAGCAATAACATTAATAATGTTAGATATGTTCTGGAAAGCCATTTATAAATATATTAAAAAGAAAAATATGCATAGTGTAAAACCATACAAACACAGGTAAGTGTTATGTATACTACACTCATACAGACACAAAGCGCTGAAACATAAAACAACGCTAAAATCAGATTGATTTTGAATACCACCATCAATGTCCCATGTTAAAAATGGTTATTGAGAGCAATAGTGTCCACTGCAATCAATGTAAATCCTTCACTGTTAAAGATTATTATATGTATAGGGGTATAGTTTTTCAAACAGGATGTCAGGGGAGGTAATACTACCTAAAAAGTGTGCCAACGAGAAACCATGTGGATACACAAGCTAAAGACGTATAAAAATTTGGAATTGAATACTTTTTTCCCTCTTCTTCCCTTCTTTTTTACTTGTTTTTTTTTATTTTCCTTTTCCAAATTATTATGGTTGGGTTCTAATGTGTTTTTGTAATCTTATATGGTCATGAGCCTTTTAACGATTAATTAGAGTTTTGTATATATATTGGCATATCTAATTGCATTGGTTATGTTTCATTTATAAAATTGGGGTAATTAATATATTTTTCAATATATTTTGAATATATGTTGTTCCATTTTTATCAATATAGACATTTTCTATTTATTTTATTTTATGCATATACATAGCTCCAATAAAACTTTACATGTGATGTTATTGGAATCAGAAACAATTGTACTTACAGGAGATATAGTCCATTTATGGGATTGGGGCCTTGCGTATATGATTATCTCCTATGTATATACTTGTTTAGGTTTCTATATATATATATATATTCTTGATTATTTAATATATATATTAAATCTGATATATCCTTTTTGTAGATTCAAGTGATTTGCAAATGGACATTTTATATGTTTATTGCCAATGAGATGATACACTGTATCCGATTGCGGAGTCTCCATGACTTTAGGACGCATTCTTTTCAAATTATGGCCTCAATTTTAATTTTTGGATACGTTTTTCAAATTATTTAATATTTTTATATATATATATATATATATATATATATATATTCTTCCCATTAGGCAAGGATTATTAAAGGATCGCTATAGTGTCAGGAAAACAAACTCGTTTTCATTGAGCTGAAGTGGTCTGGCTGGGTGACTATAGTGTCCCTTTAACTACAGAAACGAGAGTTATGGGTCATTATATTCAGTTCCAACAAAGCAATACTAAACTGGTTGTTAGACACTTTTTATCCAGTCCTACAGGAATACACGCACAATTCAGTTGTAGGCTAGTCATTAGACAAAATCTTTAATTTAAAATGTCATGAACAATAAACCTTCTTTAGAACATGACTAACTGCTGATGACTAAGCATTGATCCAC